TGATGCAAGAAGATCATGGATCGTTCATGATTCATTGGGCTTTCAGGTTTTTTTTCATGATGTTAATATGTTTTAAGTAAATTATCTCACTATCTAATTAGTTATGATTGGCTTACATTTTGATTCAGTTACATCTCTACATGGGCACCACTGCATTACAAAGTAATAAAAATGCTGTTTAGTGCAACATATGCTTAACTGTACATTATTGGAGGCATATTATATTTTGCTAGCAAGCTTGTGCATAATTTGTGAATATAAGAATACTTTACATTGTTGTTGTAATAATTGGTACGAAAGTACCCATACTCGCGTAGAACATTAGACGCTCCGCGAGTATACCATGATCTCTTGAGCGCTCACTATAACATGTTCCATTAAATTCTTCCTGTGTAAATCAGTTGTCATGTTCCGCGCTCAATTGTAAAGATATATTTGCAGATTGATTTTAGTTATTTCTATCTACTCAAAACTTATTAAAAACATGAGTAGATATAAATAATACATTATTAGAAAGATTTACATGTATGCCACCTAATTCTTGTGTATTTACATGTCTAACACAAGCTTCAATAAATAAATAATAATACAAACACATCATTTTACTTGATATACAGAGGTTTATTTTTTAAAAGAAAATAGTGATATATTTGATATGATGTGAAAATTTTGAGTAGTATAAAAGTAAGAAAATAAAATAAAATTTAGATGTTAAATATATTAATACTAGGAATTGGGTGGTATGTAAATGTTTTTCAAAATACTCCTAAACAATGTTTTTTTTTTTTTTGTTGCGTGCTGGAGATTCATGACGGTAGAGTAATTATTTAGTGCCTTAGTGTTCTACAAAAGTCCAAAACAAAGGTGGATCAATTTGGGGTCATTAGATTCATCTTGTTGAATTAGTTAGTTTGTCTGTTTGTTGAAATTGGAGCTTAGATTATTTTTTATTTGAGTTTGAATATTTATTGAGTAGGAAATATCTCCAGATTTGTGTCATTCATTGAGATTCACGTCACATAAAATTTTGTTGATAACGAATCAGTTGTCCGGTGATTTTTGGGTGATTGTGATTGTATCTTCTGAAATTATCAAAATAATGAGAATCAATCAAAATATAAAAAGAATGAAAAAATGGACTTTTCAGTGGCGATCAGTGGTGGATGTCTACTGCTGCAACGACGACTCACTATAGCGGTCGTTGGCGGCAGACAATGGCACTAGGCGAAGCTTGACAGCTGTGGTAGCCGCGGACAACGATCAACAGTAGCTTACGACGATTGACGGGGGCACACTGGAAGTCCACGCGGGTTGCCAGAGCGAGTAGGTCGTTTGGTGGATCAGGTTAGGCTGGCGAGCGGGTTGCAGTGTGGGTCGGTGAGAAGGTCGCAGCGTGGGTTGACTAGCGGACTAGCTGGGCTCTGCGATCCAGGCCGCAGTGTTGCGTAGGATCCCGCAATCAGAACCTCGTGGGTGCAGGATTTCACACAGATTGCGACTTTCGTTGCGTGAAATGGAACGGTTAGTATGGGCTGATGTAGGATAACTCAAATTTGGCCAATTGTTTGGAATTTTGAGCCTATTAAAAGACTAGAAAAAGGAAAAATAGTCTTGATCTCTGATTTGCTATTGTGCCATCAAAGGGGTTCCCTTGGCATGCTGTTGTGCCACCCCGAAGTTCTTTTTGGTCTGCGCTACCCTGGAGTTCTCTTAACTTGCTATTGTGCCACCTTTTATGCTGCTATTGCACACCCCCAAAGGTGAAATTTTGTGCTTCGAGATGTTGATGGTTGGGCAATCTCTCCTCCCAAAGAACTATAGGAAGTACCATAATCTCGTTGAGGCCATATCCATTACAACCAAGGATGATATAATATTATTCTGAAAAAATTTCACTTCTTGAATGACAAATTGGTGTAATTACTAACCTAAATTAATCGAGCCTACTCTCCTCGAGTATACGTTGTTATTTATGAGACAACCGTGTAGGTTGACCTATGATTTCCATCTGCGACCAAGTTGATGAACACTCTCAAAGCTACTAGAGTTGACATTTCACAGCGCTCATGTCGGGCAACAACATTTATCATCGACTTGATCACCTTTTTTCAGAAAACAAGAGTTGATGTGACACTAGAGATTTTAGCCCGGTTATGCAAATTCATTGGTGTTACATATGACCGCAGGAGCAATAAACTAGATCTTCGCACAAAGGATCCTGTTAGACATTAGTTTGTGGGATTATTTTTCTTATAAAATGACTCAAGATTTTATGAGAAATGGAAGAAAATACAACGGTTGCCTATCTCTCTCTAAATTACTGAAAATTAAATACTATGGATGCTTGGATTTTGGGGCTTGAAAGAGATGCAGTTTGACTTACAATATGTCTCTAATTTCATGAGTGAGCAATTCCTATTCAAGTCCGGCCTTTATTTCCATCGTAAGCGATCTTCTATGATGATGTTGAAGAGATTTGAAAAGAAATGCCTCGAGTCGGCTCTTGTGACACCTCTGAAGCGGCCCTTCCATAATAGTGACCGTGAGATACTTCCTCAAAAGCAGTAGTAAGAGAATTGAAAAGGCGAAGAAAAATTTGACCAACCCTTCAAAGATTCATATTCCGGAGAGTACTGACTCATTCGTGCACTAGGCTCTAGGAGGCTAAGGACTTCATGTTCTTTTTCTTACATGTGTAAAATTTTGTTGCTGCATATTTCTTTTATTCCTCAGACAAAAAATCATTTGTTTCATACGGCTAAAGTGATGAAACTTAAAATAGGTTTCAAACTTTCTTTAAAGGAGTAGAATTGTGAATTCTTCAATATTAAGTTCCTTCAGTAGAAGTGTCGATACTATTCTAAGGCTGAAGTTGTGACATTAGAATCTTAGCTGACGAAGTGTAAGACATTGTTGTCCACAATGGTGACTTCCTTCTCACTACAGTGTCATGATTTGGAGAGTACTCGGGAGGAGTTAGTTGAGGCAATAGCCAAACTTAACCAAAGCCCCAAAAATCTAGAGGCTATGAGACCGAAGACATCAACTCTTGAGGAAGAGATCCAGAAAGTAAGGTCAGAGAAGAAGGTTGACATTGTTGGAGTTGAGCTAAGAGCTATCGTGGATTTCAAGAAACCAATTAAATTCAAGAGCATCATTTGAGATCATGTTAAGGAAGCTCGCGATCATACATATCAATATTTTTTTTTTTATCTAGCACAAAAAAATGTTTTTTTTTTTTTTAATATAATGATTGTTATTTTTTTTTATGTGATATAAAACATTTAAGTGGTATGTATATAAATGTAAAAAATTAGTTGTTAGGTTTTCAAATATATAAGAATAGTGTGATATGAATATAAATGTATACGTGCTTTCAAGTACAACCTCTTTATTCTTTAAATTCTTATATCGTAGATGTTAGCTAAGCTCATGTTGTTGGCGGGAACGGGAGGAATTATACCTCATACGTGATTAGTTAAGTAAAGGCGCAGAATCTGGCATGGTAAGCTTAGCTTTTTCTTAGTCAAACAAAATGATCTTCAGTCAGATCTTTAATGCTCGATAAATATTTGTCACAAATATATACATATATAATATTGAGTGCCAAAACAATTATTTTAAGGGATTTTTATGTACATAACAGCCTAAATATTAATATTTGCATATCTCACACCTTAAAATATAATATTAGAAAATGCACATTTCCATTACCGCTCTGTCTCTAATGTTTCTTCTCCGGCGACGAGGACGAGCCTAGGCGCACCGGCGAGGAGGGATTTGCCCGGGCAATGAATGGAAATATGTTTTTGATGCCTTCTCCGGCAGCTAGGAAAATCAAATCCGAGAGATATCCAAAAATATAAGAACTCAAATCAACACACAGATCAACAGCTTTTTGATTGGATTATAAGCTAGAAATAGAGATCGATAGCAAGGTCGGCAACGACAATAGGGTTGTTCAAAGCCCAGGAACACGAGAAGATAGCATCTCATCATTCGAAGGCGAAATTCGCCGGCCGATGTACCATTGAAACTACATAACTTTAAATACAGATAGATTAAAGAATGTGATAAAGAGATCGAATTCTCTTTTCATCACTTCCTCTCTCATCTCACACTCCTTTATTACTCGTTGAATAACAGAGAACCAAAAACGATTCTGCTTACCACTGCTATGAATTCAAGCAATACTGCAAGTAAAATATTCTTTCCAAAATGCACAAAAAAAAAAATGGTTTACATGTAATTATACCATGAAAATTGTTTGCAGAGCAAAATATTCTTTACGTCCACTCAAATCCAACACATTTCTAATTATCTTTATAATATATACTATAAAAAATATATTATGTTGGTCCACCATATTGTTGGATGTCACATTCCATTCTCTCATATATATCATCGCACAAACATAAAATATATCAAAAAAAAAAAAAGGGGGCATTTACATACAGACCACCAAATTCCTATGTATATACATATCTAACACCTAAAGTTGACTTTTTTCACATTTATACCACCGAAATCTCTCATATTACATCAAATATACCACCACCATTTCAACTTCTCAATTAGATATGTAAATAATGAGGAATTGAATGGTATATATGCAAATTTTGATCTTTTTCAAATGTAACGAGCACTGTCTCGCAGTGGAAAAATTATTGCATACATACACCGCATGCAGAGATGCATGCGGTGTCTGATCTTGACCGTAGAGCACGGTGATCTACGGTTAAGATGCAATCAAAATTTTTTTGAAAAAACAAATTAAAGTGGGGTCCACCGAAATACATCATGATCGTAGATCACCGTGATTTACGGTCAGGATCAGACACCGCATGCATCTATGCATGCGGTGTATGTGCATGTATCTCTGCATGCGGTGTATGTATACAATAATTTTTCCTCGTAGTGAAGGCGGCCAACAAATTGCACCAAGAGAAATACAGTGATCCGGTGCAATACATGAAAGGGCACAATTCTAAATTCTCAAGAAAAAAAAACAGAGCAAATAACACTAAGCTTTTAAACTTACACTTAGTGTCGCCATGTAGCCCCAAACACTTGGAACAGATTTCAGTGTTATTTCTCATCATTAGATTATATGGAAGTGTGGTATAAAGATGCATAAATGATATTTTGAACCGACAAATGAACATAAATGAAAAGGTAATCCCTTTGAAGCAGATTGAATACCTGTATGGAATTAGCTATTAGCAGCAGAAGCTGTTGCCGAATTTTCAACATATTCTGCAGCATCGCCTGTTTGCTCCATGGATTTCGTTGCAGCAGAAGAGGATTTTTCTGGTCCTGGGCCAGTTGAAACCTTAACAGAGGCTTGCCTGAGAACACGATTGCCAAGAAGAAAGCCGCGACGTACTTCTTGCATGACAATGCCAGACTTGAATTGCTGAGATTTCTCTCTAGAAATGGCTTCATGGAGCTTCATTGTGCAGAAATATGGGCTTATGTTAAAAGTTTTGTATCACAAGTAAAAACTAGGAGTGCTAGAAATAGAAGGCAATGTGACTGCAAAGAAAATTGTAGACAGTGAAAGCGTTTTGAAAGTTAAAAATAATGTAGTTCTGTCAACAGTTATCTAGAGGAGCTGGATCTGAGAGGGAAAGAAACAGAGGATGAATGAGTCAAAATGGACCCTTGATTACATGGAGTCATTTTACTCCCATGATTCATTTCAGCCCATATTAAAAAAATCCCAAACTAAATTGAGACCTTCATACTCTGAGATTAAAATGATCCCATGTAAAAGATCAATAGATTATTTTTAACACTTCCCTCTCTCTCTCTCTCTCTCTCTCTCTCTCACACACACACACACACACACACACACACACACACACACACATACATAATACTAGTGTTCAAAACTCAACTAGTTGCAAAACATTTTGATGCAGACGCTTGGCTTTTACCGCTTCAAGAAGCAACACAATTAAGGAAAATTGGGCATCGTTTCAAATATCGTCTTTTTTGCAGTAAGATATGGATTATTTGGAAGGAAACTAACTTTACAAGCTCTCAGCATCAAGCTACATAGTTAAGATTCTTCAGAATATCATTTCATTGGCATATTTGTGGTGCAAAAAATCTAATGGGAAGAAGCTTCTAAAATAACTAAATTAATGTAGAACTTCAACCATTCTAACGCTCCCTAGTAACTTTTTTGGGTTTTGTTGTTTTGGTCAGCAGTATTCTTCTTTTCTTTTAGCCTGTTTTTACTTGTATTTTATTATTATTATTATTATTATTTAATAAGAAGGGCCCAACAAATAACTTTTTTTTTTTGAGGAAAAGCACAAGTACCATTAAACTATTGCATGGAAGAATGCTTAGATAATGCACATCAATATGACTGACAAAAAATTCGAATTGCTCAGAATGCATCTGCCATTCAATGGCATTAACGGAAACCCATGGCGAGAGGAAAATAAACTAAGATGTCAAATCATCATCAAAATATAAGAGATTGGATTCATAAGTTGTTCAACTTTAAAATAAACTTTAACAGTTGCAAGAAACAAAAATCCCAGCGGCAAATATTTTCAAGTTTCATTGAATTAAGTTGGAGGATAAAAGTCACCCTGCTTTTCCAGCGAAGTAGATCATACGTTTGATACTTAAACCGGAAAAAAAAGCAATATTAAGAGTACAACACTTACAGAGGGATCAAACGGCCTCCCAACAGTCTCCACTACAGAAACACGAATGCTTCGCAAAATCTCAACAAATTGCCTGTAAATGCCTTGGTAACTTGCATCTATCTTCCTTTCTCTTTCAGTTTTTGGTTTCCTTTGTTGCTTCACTCTCTCGAAACTGTCAACAATAGGCAATAAACACTCAATAACTTCTGCTCTATTATCAGATGTAAAGTTTCGCCGATCCTTTTCTGTGCGCTTTCTAAAATTTTCAAAATCAGCATTTAAACGAAGAAACTTATCCTTCACCAAAGCGATTTCTGAAATTAATTCTGTAGATTTCAAGGAAAGCTCATTTGTCTCCTTCTCAAGGATGCAGATTGATGACCCGGTTTCAGAGAGGATCTTTTCATCACCATTCAAAAAAGCTTTCTTATAAGCCTGAATAAGGGCTTTCATATTATCATTTTGTTTTGCCAAACTTTTAGATTTGTTCTCCATCTCTTGGTTCTCCTCATTTTCAGTCTGAGACAAAAATATATATAAAACAATAAGATTTTGTTTAGGTGGACATAGAAAGCTGATAGGGTTTAATATGAATACAATCTACGTCATAATATGCAATAAATCCGATTGACATCCGGGTTTAAAATATAAATTTGGTCTGGGTTTAAAAGATAAATTTGGTCACAAACAAACCTGGCTCGTATAACTCAATAATCTAGTTGTGCTGCAAACCGCACCTCTAAGACAATAGAGAAGTAACAAAGCAATGACAAGAAAACAAATTTCATGAATGCTTGGTCCATAGGTAGATTCTTATGGAAAATAAGAGCGGCTCAAAAAAAAAAAACAATTGTTGCTATTTGCGACCTTCAATACCTTTCATCAAGTAATATGGAAATGTTTTATGAAATGCATTTTTTACGTTAGCACATGCTTAAATAGTTGGGATGAATGTTTTTAAAAGCGTGCTTTGAATAATACTTCACAAGCAAGGCGAGACAAAGAAAGTGATGCCCGATTCGCTTCTCTGAGGCGCACTTCGAAGCACTAAAGTTAAATTGTATTTTTTTGCAATTTTTAAGTTCTTAATCATTGCTGTAAATTATTAGAAATTGTCTGAAATTTTAATTTGCATGTTTATCCCTTCAAGTTATATATTGCACCACAATTTTTTTCTATTTTATATCAATTTTTAAGTCATGCTTTTTATTTTATAATTGTTAACGAATGTACTTATATATTAATAGTTTTGAATAAGTTATTAGTGATCTAGTTAATAAAAGGCTGCTTCGCCCTATGATTTGCGCTTTGAAGCAAAAATAAAACCTTGTGCATCGCTCGCGCTTTCCGCTTTGATAACACTGGTTGGGATAAAACTGATAAAGAGTATGACGTGATGTTTGTTATTTGACATATTTCTTATACAAGATGGTATTGGGTAAAGCATAAAATGGTGGGGTTCATAGCAGGTTTGCCTAGAACTGCACCTGTGAACCTCAATTAAGGGCCCTAACTGTTATCATATAAATTCTTAATATTTGTTTCGCTTCTACTTATGAAATGAATCATAAAACTGTTCTAATAGTGTCCCCAAGCCCGAAAGTAGTGTTGATGTGCATGAAACTACATGGTTAAACTACTAGTGTGAAGCCATATGGAGCGCATCAAGCAAGAAAAAGTAGATTAAAGTAAACCTAAGGGGCGTATCCCATTAGGAAGGACCTTCAACACATATACTAACTTAGAGAGGAAGAACAATTTATTGGAATCAATATGAAACCAAGAGGGTTGCACAAAACCAGAATTTGATTGAAATAAGAACGCGGGAGCTTACCTTGACGTGATACTGTAGCTGCCACAGTACCACGGCCCAGCCCTACCCTCCCTTTTTACTATTTGATTAATTGCTTTGTCTAGCCCTTCCTTTTCTAGTACTTTCCTTGTCCACATCCTTCGTTTTCCATCACCTTTCAATTTATATTCCCTACCTATTATATCTGCCATTCCTCATTATATATAGGTGATGTTTGCTTTGGTTAGGGAGAGTTTGTTTGGTCTTCCAGATTTCAGATTTCTGTCACCCAATAGGGACTTACCCTCGATGGTGCCAGTGAAAGCCAAAGAAGAGAAAGGGAGGTGAATCTTATGTCAGTGATGAAGAAGAAAGACCACAACAATTATAAATTCGAGATCAGACGAAGCCGAGAGAGGAGGCCACAAATGGAGAACGGGAGCATCTGAAGATGAAGTGAGATACAACGCCAATTCCTACTAGCTTAATACAGACAGAAACTTCAGACCCTAGCTTATGAAGAGGAGAAACTACTAGCTTAATACAGACAGACACTTCAGACCTACTAGCTTAATACAGACAAAAACTTCAGACCTACTAGCTTAATACAGACAGAAACTTCAGACCCACTAGCTTAATACAGACAGAAACTTCAGACCCTGGCTTCTGAAGAGGAAAAACTAGATCATCGAACGACCACTCTATCTTACAGGCAGAGTTCAACCTCAGGATCTTATAGCCATATTACACCTAGAACACCTAAGAAGACCCTGTCAGAGGAAAAGCTGATTCAGAGTGGATAACAGGTCAAACCAATCTGCATCCCTAAATCTATCAGAGCAAAGAAATATTAAAAGTGCCACAGATTTGGGCATGTTGAATCAAATTACATAGCCAAAGATGATCTGTTTCACCAAGCAAGGCATTCTTGAAAAATTATGTAATGACCGAGTAAACACTGAAGATGGTGAGGACAAAAAAGAGAATGGCCAACTTCTAGATGAGGAGGAAAAAATGCACATAGTTCCAATTGAGCCCGTGGGAGGGACTCCAACAAACTTCACGAGTGTTCAAAAACTTGAGTTCGAGGTACTAACACCAGAGGTATGACAACCCCATATAAGATAAATCTAGACCATTCGGATCTATAGAATAATTCTTGAGTTGTCCCTACTGAGGGAGGTCCAGAAAAGGGGTCCTTTGTGCCATGTCAGAAAGATTACATGGAGTTATTCAGATGTTAGATTCAGTTCGGCATGATACCCATCATCAGATGTCCAGACAGGAGGGATGAACCCCATCTTGAAATATTATCTTGGGAGCTTGATGGGGAACAAAATTCTTGAATGGGATCCATGACCTATCAACGAAGAAAAAGAAGCCTCTCCTTGGTGGTTGCTAGTGAGAGTGGCGCAACTTGCTACAGATTTTATCCCAGAGTTAATTTCGCCTCACAAACTTGTTTAACAGCTGCATCATGCCGAGTACGATAAGTGGAACTAGTCAAAAGCGTGTGCCAAAGTTATTGGAAGGCCTAGTCAACTAGGAAGCCCATTAAGATGTCGTCAATGATTTTAAGATGCGGGGCTTCGACTGCTAATGCGGAGCAGACAAAAAACAATGGGAACAAGTAGCTGCATTGAGAAAGGTTTATGAAGAGGAGATCATAATTGTGATTCTCCTTCTTGTCTTAGTAGAATCTATCAGTCAAGGACATCAAAAAAGGAAAAGATAGCACACTCAAGATAGCTTCATGGGTGCTTTAGCCAGGAAAGATGTGGTTTTACTGGAGATCTTTCTTATTAAAGAACACGACAATTATGATAGGTTTTATTTAGTTCCCCTCTTAAACTAACAATGATGTGGCATAGGAAGAGGATGATAAAAGAGACTAGAGCAAGAAAGAAGCTGCTTCTAATCAAAGACCTATTACAAGGTTCAGAATGATCATTACAAATTCTACACTTATTGTATAAGAAAATGTAATTTTTGAATATTTGTAAATTTTTTAAATTTAAAATTTAAAATTTAAAATTTGGAATTTGATTTTTTTGAAATTCTAAAATTCCAATTTTTGAAGTTTAAATTTTCAAATATGAAGGAAATGCTTTTTAAACTTAAATGGTAGTGCTTAATTGGATGAAAATTAATCGAATAACTAATTTCTTTCTCTTATGGCCAGTCAACACTAATTTGAAGTAGTTTCTCAACAAGTAATCACCTCCTTTACAGCCACAAACTTAGCCAACCCACCCATAAATCCATCTTCCTCTCTTTTAATTTATTTTAAATTGCTGTAAAACTCTTTAATAATTATTTCGTAGAATAAATGTGAAATTAAAGTTGATTTTCTGAAATTTTAATTTTTTTTTCCACATAAGATGATGCTTAGAGGGTAACTAGTCACCATAAAAAAGTTTTGGTGCTCTCTTCATGCTTAGCTACTTTGTTGTGTGGTAGATTTATGAAATCTCTATTATTAAACCCTCCTCTTATGCATTAAACACTTATACAATCTCTTCTCCAAATTTCCACGCCCATTCCCCATCCCATTTCATCCTAAATACACTCCAAAATTCCAATGGGAATTCCTAGCCTACAGAAGGTTAAAAAAAAACTTAGATTAGTTTTAAAATCCAGTTGACCCACTTAAAACCATTGAAAATTTGTGAAAAACTAAAATAGACGTACTACTCTAACTATTCAAAGTGCTTCGAAGTCTTGAAATTTCCTATTTCCGCAACAAAGTTTTAAACCTAAAAAAATTGCTCTTTGATTTTGGTTCTTCCCCCATCCTTCACCCACCTCCTTTAAATTTACACTTAACATCACTTATTTTAAACCATTCTCAAGGCTTGTATACTATTCCTAACATCTTTTAAAAGCTTGATAAGCCCAACCAAACTACCTTGACAAGGCCTAACCCTTGGCCACATGAATTTGGTATTAGAGCAAATCTTGAATATTTGAAAGTTGGCAATAAAATATCACATTTTAATGAATTAGTTAGAAAACAATATGTAAACCAATTATTACTAGATTTTCAAATTTACATTTAGCCAATTAACTTCTCAGCCTAATACTTCGTAAAATTTGTTTGAATTAGGTCTAAATTTGTAATATGTGAATGAAAAAAACCTTAGGACACAAATAAATTTGGTAAGAATATGAAAAAGATTAGAAATTCATTAAATAATTTGAGAAACCAAACACCAAGTAACAGTCATTTAGAGCTAATTGAAAACAATGTAAGTTTTAAACCACAAGAAACGAATTCTAAAACCCATGTTGAAGTTCATATAGCATACCTTCTCCATTAATTTTTAAAGCATTCTACCTATATTTAGCCTTGTAATAACTCCATGCAGTCCACATGCTTATATGGTTAATCCAATAATAATATATGTTAGCAATGCCCTTAAGAAAATCCATTGGCAAGAAGAAAATGCTCTTTTACTAGCGGTGCCGATGATCTTCCTACAGCTAAAGGCACTCCACCGCCTATTACATGCCATAAAGAATATTTAACGAAGAGTTATTTTAGGTCCCAAAAAAGATGATGCAATACAAGGAGCACCTATAGGAAGAATTGAACCAACCATTAGAGCTCCAAAACAAAAATATTGTTTTCTGATAGTCAAAAGCTTAGAATAAGAGGATAATATAATATTATATTTTGATGTATTAAGTTGATGCAAAAGAAAAAATGTGAATGTAACCTTTTTAT